CAGTTAACTTAACTGTTGGAAAAGAAAGATCAGAGTTAGGAGTGTGAACACACAGCTGAGAGCTGCCGTTTCATTCTGACTGTTTAAAAAACGGTAACAACGGACTATTTTTCTTAGCGGATGCATGTAAATTTAAATCAATACATAGAACTATGTTTTAAATCAATAAAAATATTTTCTAAATCCATAAAAGCATTTTAATTAATATTGGGAGTCATGTCGTTACTTTGTTGAGAATGTGGCCATGTAATAAGCGGGATAATTTGCAGCGACTTGGTCATTATGGGGAAAAATAACACCCAGGGACGCGGAGGGATCAGTAATCTTTAGTGAATTACTGAGTTTAGGCACGTTAATAACATTTTAATGAAGTTGAATACAGTATATTCATATTTGTCAGTGATTTCATGTCAATTCGGCGAACACAAACGATTAAATTAGGATTAAAAATCGAGAGCCGGCTGCTGTTCGTTACGGTAACCCAACTAGGACACTTGACACAGTGGCTTTTGGCAAAGCACACAAAGAAAACAAAAAAAAACCGAGAGAGATGAGTTATTGTTATTACAACGTGACTTCACTATTATTTAACAACTATTTTTATTGGGTTCTTTTATTTGGGGTTAAGTACATTGTCAGAATAAGTGAGAAATGGATTTAACTTCTGTTAGACAGCTATCATACTGAATAAATATTTATGCAAAAATGTATGGCATTAATAATGTATATCTAATTACATTTAAAAATGTATGGCATTAATAATGTATATCTAATTACATTAACTGTGAATGTCTTTCATTTTATTTAAAATGAAATAAAATTACATAAAACATTTTCCATAAAAAAGTTGATTCAAGAACAAATCAGTACTTTTCTTATATGACTATTATTGCTAAATTTGAAAGGTCTTTACCAGCTTTGGAATTATATATATATATATATATATATATAGCACCTTCTGCCATCCCATCTCTACTGACATATGGATCTTAACAAAGATCCGCTATACATTAGTACCAGATATACTGTACACGGACATTTTAGTGAACCAGACCAGCTGTTTCCGCCGGGTCTTCGCTTCCCGGGCATCACGTTGTTTACAAGTGTGTTCAGATGCTAAATGACAAGTGCAAGTGACAATTGTTGTCGTCTTCTCTGTGAACGTTTTTTTCTCCGTTATTTTGCCATTTTCAGATTTAAATTTCGAGCGGAAAGCTAACCAGGAAGTAATAATTACTTAAGCGGAGAACGGAGAAAGTAAACGTTACAGCAGGCATAACAACAGCCCGTGTTTATTTTATTATAATATATATCATTTGTTTTAAAGCTCAATATATAGTTTTATTATAATATATAGTCGTTATTCATTTGTTATAAAGCTATACTGTACACGGACATTTTAGTGAACCAGACCAGCTGTTTCCGCCGGGTCTTCGCTTCCCGGGCATCACGTTGTTTACAAGTGTGTTCAGATGCTAAATAAAAGTTTAGCTTGTACTTTTGATACCCCGCCTCTCGGCACCACAACATCCAGTTTACTGTATTTCACATGAGCGATGTCGAACATTGAAAAGTCCTTATAAAATCTCTGTTATTAGATCAGTACTTTTCTTATATGACTATTATTGACTTGAACACTGAGAATGTATTTATTAACTTCAGACATTTGAAATATTTGAAATCAGATGAAAACAAACTGTAACGGACCCTGCCGTGTTATCTATGATTACTATGCCTTACTGTACATTCATAATTTCAGCCGGAGGTAGGTGGTAGGCGTTGCGGAGGAGCAGATTGCGAGTGAGGTGCCTGTTCTAAACGAACTATTCCAGCTGTTATAAAGCATTAAATAAAAAGTAAGCAAGGAATACAGAATGTTTCGTTACGTAACTTTGTTGAGAATGTGGCCATGTACATGTAATACATGGGATCATTTGCAGCGACTTGGTCATTGTGGGGAAAAATAACACCCATCCTGATCGTTTCAATGAAGTTGAATACAGAATATTCATATTTGTCAGTGATTTCATGTCAATTCGGCGAACATAAACATCAATGATGATGATTAAATTAGGATTAAAAATCGGGAGAGCCGGCTCGTTCGTTTTTTTCCGACTAAACAACATCTATTATTTAGAAGTTGATTTCACATGACTCCAGTGTGGAACCCCACTGCACCCCCTGGTGGATCAATGATCCATTGCAGCTGGCTTCACAATAATTAAATGTATTTATCATGGGGGCGGTATCAAGTCTGACTGGGGGCCGGCCGGCCATCACGGAACGTGCACAAACCGATCACGACCCTCGCATTTTAAACTGTCCAAAATAAGACGCTTCATCTGTACATGTCCCACATGCATCTCGTTTTGTGACATGCGCACTGAAGAGACTTGCAATTATTTGCAATGGACTTCTGCTTTCAGACGTAGTTAATTACTAAGTTATTATCCTATCCGATAATAATCCAATTCAGAGGCAATAATGTAATATAATACATTATTTTATATATATATATGTATATTTATATAGTTACAACCGGCCCTTTGAGTGCAACCATAATGCTAATGTGGCCCGCGATGAAATTGAGTTTGACACCCCTGCTCTAGGGGTGCACCCCCGGGAAGATTTTTTTCTTTAAATTGAAGTTAAATGCATCAATCTGGCGGACTCTCCCTCTCCTTATTGTTGAAACATTTTATAATCTCCGTTAGCTCCAAGCTAGCACCAGATGCTAACAACAACCCCCATAACTGGTGCTCTCTCTCGCTCGCACTCACGCAAGATGTGCTCGTGCCACACACACAGACGCTGTGTGCTCCTCCGTGACGATGACCGCTTGCGTAAAGTGGGGGGGACATGTCCCCCCTGTCCCCAGTGGAAATTACGCCCATGTGTGAACATATAAGAAGGGCAATGTCCATGACAGGGACACATGCTATTTTGATTACCATACTGACCCAGGTATGTAATATTGCAACAAAGACATAAGCTGCTCAAATCAAATTTGATGAATGTATTCCACAATAACTAAATATGTACATGTTCTAGGCATTGTAATAGTCACACTTTTTTTTTTGTTGAGGCATTTTACTTACTTGAATCTGACAAAGCCAGTCCAATAAAACAAAGAGATGTTGCTCGTTTGAAGATTTGGAAGTTGTGTGAGTGTATGGCCAGAGGGCGGGACCTATAAACACATTTAATACCCAATAACATTGTGAGGCTGAACAAAAGGACCTTTTGACTATGTAAATGTGGTATTTAAAAAAACAAACATTTACTGACTTTTTTAGGATTAGCCTACTTAAAGTGGACCTATCATGCTATATTTAAATTATATATTGTAGGGCCATACCTATATAAGGTATATTTATACGTTTGTTTTCAAAATACCAAACAGATCATACATTTTAGCCATGCCTCATTTCGCTCTATTTGCTGTTCTCCAGCCCTGTTTTTGCAGGGGGCTGATTCTGTGAGCTGCAGCTGACCACGCCCCCCTGCAGGAGAGGGGAGCGTGCTCTGATCAAGTCAGAAGAGGGGGAGAAAAAGAGATCTCTGTCCTCCGTGTTTTATTCTTATATGATTATATGGAGTCATTATTCATTTGATTTAAAGCTCAATAAATAACAAAGAAGACCTTTGACCGGCACTAATTTTGTCCCGAAGATTTAAACTTTAACGGACATGTTGACCGGCGAAAAAAAATCTAACTGAAACTCTGCCGCACGGTCCCCTCGTTCCTTGGAAGAGGCGGAGAGGTGGGTGTTTGTCATCTGCTGGTGGACTAACCTGAGAGAATTACAGTGCTTGCCTCGACGGGAGGGATTGCATTGAATTAAAGCAGCAGGAGCAAACGCTTGCCTCGGGGAGGGAGAAAAAAAGCCACAGCGGAGAATAAACAGAAGGGTAACTATGGCAACCATGCGCGGGAAGTCTTCTTCGCTGCTTTTGTGGCAGACTACAGCGCCACTTACAGGCCTGGCATATGTACTACAGCGTCTCCAGTGCTTTCGAGCGGCAATGGCCGGCCGTGCCCCAACCCCACATTCCCCTGATAGGTGGAGAGTTGGCCCAATAGCCGTAGCGCCACCGTCCTGACGTCAGGACAGTGTTCAAATCTGGATCAGTTTTTATCAGATCCGTTGCAGCCCCTTTTTTAGAGATTTGGGTATGGAGGAAAATAGAGAGGGTTGTGTTTTCTGACACTTGGTGAGTTCCCTGGAACCCCGGGGACACATATTCATGTATAAAAGACGTACAAAAGTGCATTTTGCATGATAGGTCCCCTTTAAAGTAATGTTGTAAAATAACAACAGGGGGCCTTACAGGGTTAATGTAAAAACTATATTAAAAGGTGAGTCATTGATCCTGATAGTGTTTAGGCCAGAGAAGGCCTTGCTAGACCTGCCGGCCAACCACTGTTCAAAAGATGGACCTTTATTGATCCCCCGACGGGGTGTTTTCCACACACACGCACATGCATTTTTACAGGTACAGGTACTTACAAACACACACAGCTATGTGGACACATGCACATGAGTATCCAGAGTGGAGAGGCAGCCAGTCAGGGAGCAGTTGGTGGTTTGGTGCCTGGCTCAAGGGCACTTCAGTACTTTTTTGGTCTGGACATGAACCAGCGACCCTTCGATCCAAAGTCCATGCCCCTACAGACTGAACCACTGTAGCCCAAAGCCTAGTTTCCATCTGCACATGACAAGCAAATTAAACACTTTATTTTTTATTTAATTTTGTTTACAAACCAATACATTCCATGGAATGTTTTCACCTAGAATATTCCCGTAATTTTTCAACACATCTGAATACATTTTCACTCAAAGTCTATTTATTGGCTTTTTCCATATCTTAAACTTAAGATGGAGATGGAGTTGCTAGCACTGATACCACTATGTGAACCCTCATTAGTCCTGATTGGTCCCAGCTAAAAGTGAAAATGTGTATTCAGTTTTTGTTCTTGTGGGTCTTTATGTTTTCAGCTGAGTGAAAACTACACATGGGGCCGAGTCAAAGACCTGGTCAGGAAAACGAAGCTGAGGAACCAGAGCAGGCTGACCCTGATCCCCAGCAGGCTGAAGATGTCCTGCCCACAGCTCTACATGTGAGGACACACTGCACTACACACAAGGCCGGATTTGTACCTCCAGGGGCCCCCGGGCACTGAGAGCTCAGGGCCCCTCAACCCACGTACCAACACGCCTACCCAACATGACCAATATTTTACATTTTCATTCAATCTGGCATGTCAATCGCACACCTATTTGTCAAAAGCAGGGACGCAGCTACATAGTTCAACCAAAGTAGGTCTAGCCTTTTGCCCTTTCAGTCAAAAATCACAAGACAAGGATACAATGGATAAGATCTCAAGACAGTGTATGGCTCAGGAATACCTAGGTAATATCACTCAAAACCTCAGAGCAGCACCCCACTTCAATTGCCAAAATATGACTGGCTGGCTGTACAAGTACACGAGGAGTTCTATTTGTCACCAACATCGAGAGTTACAAAAGTAAAACATGTATTGAAAGTATGTGGTTGCTCAACTAAGTGATCAGTATATGTGATAGAAGATATTATTGTGTGTATGTATGTGAGAGGGAGAGAGAGAGTGAGTGTGTGTGAGAGAGAGTGAGTGTGTGAGAGAGAGAGTGAGTGTGTGTGAGAGAGAAAGAGTGAGTCTGTGTGAGAGAGGGAGAGTGAGTGTGTGTGAGAGGGAGAGTGAGTGATTGAGTGTGTGTGTGTGTGTGAAGGCCCTGACACACCAGGCCGTATTCGGCCGTCTTGCGTTGTCTGGCGACAACGGGTTCCTTGTCGCCCAAAGTCAATTTGGTGTGTCCCGAACCCTCGGCCGTGACACGCCTTATTTGGCCTTTCACGGTCGACACCCGGTCGATTCAACATGTTGAATCGGCCGGGTGTCGGACACAAGCTATCGGGCCAAGAAACCACTCTGATCAGCTGTTCAGCTAGCAAATGAGAAGCGAAACGGAAGTGAGGGACGTAAACAAACGATTAAAAAAGGCACAGGACAGCAGCTAAACCCCAGCAGGTGATACTTAAAAGACATCAAACATAGCCCTTAAATGTCCTCTCTTACCTCCCACACATAGCAGGGACATCTCTGATATCGGCGGGAGCGTCCCCGGCTGTCCTCTGCTGAGAGCTCCGTGATTTGTTTGGTCAAGTCCGGTTCTTCATCTCATCGTAAATTTAGCAAGAAGTGGCCATTATTACATTGCTGACTCAATAAACTACACACCCGCCAGAACACTGCGATCATCAGATGCAGGTCTGTTAACTGTGATTTTATAGTATGTCTGCACTTTATGTGCTCATTTCATCATTCATGTATTTTTATATTCTAAAACATGTTTTCGATGGACGAGAGTGAAAATGGAACGCACACGCTATTTGTTTGTTTATATCAGTCTGTTCTTCTTCTCTGTCTTCCGGTTGTTGCCTATTTTGAATGACGAATACACACTACCGCCGCCTGCTGGTAAGGAGAGTTATTGCCACTCACGCATGCGCAGTTCGTACGTGCTCGGCTGGAGTCTTTGCGGTGATTTCCAGTGCGACACACGGCCAAGACGCAGGAGAACTCGTCGATGGAACTGTCGGTGTCGGCGAGTTCTCTGGTGACTGCCTGGTGTGTCAGGGCCTTGAGAGAGAGTGAGTGAGTGAGTATGTGTATGTAAGCAATAGAGAGAGAATGTGTGTTTGTAAGACAATCCCTCAAACCAATGGATCTTGCCTTTTAGAAGTGTTTCTTCCTTGCCCTTTTCTTTGCAAAGTCTGTGATAAATTAATCAAAATCCTAACATTGCTCACTAGCTCAACAACATCCTCAGGCTCCGTGACCGTCACTGTTCCTTGTGGTTGCTGGCCTAATTTGTCACTTTTAGCTTTTTTGAAAAAGCTATTTATTGTTGGGAAATGTTTTAAAGCAGCCGCCACTCTCTCTTCCTTTTCTTTCTTTTTCTTTCTTTTCGCTGCCCTGCTGGGCGTTCGGCTGCTACCGGCACCATACATTTTTTCAGCTCACGTAACACAATGTCAATGTGACATGAGTGAAGGTGGGGTTGTGATTCGGCTATAGACCGCAGCCGCGTAGTAATAAAGTTGAGCGCATACATAGTGAAACATACAGTACAGAGACAGTTTAGAAAATATATTAATGAGTTATTTATTGCGGCAGAGAGTGAGTTTCATAAAAAAAAAATATATATATTTTTTTTCTTGTCACTGAGGGCCGTCTCTTGCTCAAGGGCCCCTGGGCACGTGCCCAGTGTGCCCAGATGGTTAATCCGGCCTGTGCTACACACTACATTACACTACACTACACAACACTACACTACACAACACTACACACTTCCCACAGCTCTACATGTGAGGACACACTGCACACTGCACTACACACTACACTACCGTCTCACAGAAGAACGTTTAATAGCTACGTTGGTCCACAAGGTAGGACGTATCAGTTTCACGTTTAAACGCCTCTCAAAACGTGACAGGGCTACGTTTTCCTTTCCTTTTTAATTCTAATGGGCAGTGTTCATGTCACGTGATCGTCAACTTTCCCCGCGGTGAAAAAACAAAAACATGGCGGACACCTGGCCCATTTTTCGTGGAAAATCCTAAATTGTAGGATAGTTTGGCCATTATAATTATTTTTGATTACATTTCTAGCGAGAAGTGTATATTTTACTTTCACAATCTACGTCCAGTGGATGTGTAGGATCTATAGTTTGATAGATATTACGAAGATTGAGGTCTCGCCAGGAGAACGTCAATATACTACGTTTTTCCCCCTATTCATTTCTATTGACCAGCGTCCATGTAACGTAGGGGAGAGCAAGGGAGAGAGAGAGAGCACGCTCGTGAACTGTCAACGGGGGGGACGGGACGCACGCTCGTGAACTGTTAGTGCCGTGTTATGCATGCCTACTGCACCTCGTGGGAGCGCGCACAGCGTGAAGCAAATACTCAATCAATCAATGTTTATTTATATAGCCCAATATCATCACATACCTCTGTTTTTCTGCTGCCTCGTTTCACTTCCAGAAACATACACGGGGTGTTTCTCAATCGCGAGTAAAGCTGCTTCAGAGCCACTATTTCAAGCATACTATGTCATCGAGTGCCGCCGAAGTACTGTTCCAATCTCCAGCATACTTGGAAATCTACCGAGCCGGCGTACTCCGTTTGGAGAAATATCGAGGCTGCACATGAGTAGACTCCGCGGTCTTAAAATCCCCACAATGCTTTGCGCACGGACCAAATCTGTGGCGGAAGATGTAAGGCGGGGCCTCTCATATGACGCACACCTGCACACTTGCTAGCGTGTTCCACACTTCGTTTTCCGAATGGCAGGAAGTATTCTTGACTCACTTCTGAAGCAAGATGCTCGGCAGACATGTGCTACCAAGCAAGCGTACTCGCGATTGAGAAACACCCACACACTCACTCACTCTCGCTCTACCATCCACACACACACACATGCACACACCACACCCCTCTCTCTCTCTCTTAAAGGGACAGCGATCTCCTTTAAGAGATCTTAAAGGAGATCTCACTCTGCATGACCCTAATATCATAACATGTGTGTTCTGGAGAATCACAGAACGGACGATCGTCCTTATTATGCCGTTTAAACCAATTATTTAAATGTGTTTGTTAAATTCTGCATCATGTAACTTGCGCTGACAGGTCCACACACTGCTTCCCCGCAGCGAGGCTCCCCCCGCCCTCCTGTTGATAGTTCACGAGCGTCGAGCTCCTCACCCCCCCCCCCCCCGTTGATAATTCACGATCGTCGGCACGCTGATAACAATTTTGGGCAAAAAGGTTGCCGACCCCTGTTTAAGAGACTCTAGGAACAACCAACAACCCTGCATTCTTGGAACGCAATGCCCTAGTAGGACAGTAGGGTATAGTGAGTTCTTTAAAGGAGAGGTGTCATGCTTTTCCGGTTATTACCCGTCCCCTTGTGTGTTATGAAGGTTTTTATGCATGTAAACGGTGTGCAGAGTCAAAACCCTCAAAGTACACCCTGTAGCGAGTAAAACTCTAACACAGAAAATACCTCCCCAAAAACGCCTCGTTGGAGATACGTCACTGTCCATTTGATTCTTCCGGGTACGGCATGATGTCATGCGGTACCCGGAACAAAATGGACCAATCCGGAAGAGCTATGGCCACATCCAGCGGCGCTGGCCGCACCCTCTGCCAGCCTAACATTTACTGTTGGAAGCTCTGGTTCAGTTCACAATCGATCCAGTCATGCCAATGCCAAGGACCTGTTTCCTGAAATGTGAGGAGAAATCTGAGCTGTTTGTCCTACCGACGGAAGAACCACGACGAAGTCAGTGGTTGAAATGTCTTTTTAACACTGTTCCTTCAGAGGTTCGAAGAACGTTACTGTGTGCGCGGCATTTCACAGACGAAAGCTTCCAAAACATTGCCCAGTTTGAGGCCGGATATGCACAGCATTTGAAACTGAAGGACGATGCTATTCCTAGTTTGTTTGGACCGTTTGGAGCAGGGGAAGATTCGGGTACACAACCTGTAAGTTTGCATTGTTATTTGTGTATTTATCAAACAAGACTGTTTAAATGTGTAAACGTGTGTCGGACTGCTAAGCCATTGACACAGTGCTAACTGTGCTAACTAAGTTGCTAGCGTTTCCATATATCAACTGTAATATCAGCAGATGGCCTTACATACATGTATCTCATAGCAGGAGAATGTCTGCATTCACACACAAAATACTCATAGACAGTATACTCCGGGTGATTTACCGTACGGTCAGTCGCGAAACGTAATTACATTATAGCTGTCGTTCCTAGCGTGTATGCTACCGAGCTAAAAAACGGAGCTAGACATGAGTTTGCTCGGGAAAAAATTGTTGTTATGCCAGCTACAATGAATGTAGCAGACTACCCGTATAAGATTGCAATTGTAAACATGTTCTCGATAGCCTAATATGAACCACTATCTGTTGTTCATAGTATAGTATAGTAGCCTATAGCATATTACACTGAACAATTAGCAAATGTAGGTTAGCATATTAGCGGGCAAGCTAACTGTGTTGATTAG